ATATATAACGAAAATATTTAATACACATTTGTTCGAATTTGATTACGGAAATTTATATTGTTAAAACTTAAAAGGATTTTCGTTAACTTAAAATAATGGATACAAGGAGTTTAGGTCGCAATTATTCTGCCTTATGCCAAGAAACTTGACTGAAACAAAATCCTCAAAATCAACACCAATGAGGATTTGTGATAATGACTCGCAAAGGGAGAGTGGCAATTCCAAAACCAAACATCAAGTCATTCTTTACACACATTAATAACTAAATGTTTGAATGACTAGTTGGGGATATTATTTTGTAATTCCAAATACATTAATTTATACATTTGTTTTAAAAAAAAGATTATCTTGTGGGTCTGTGATGGATTGCTCCGTATGACATCACTAAGGCATATATTCAAAATAATATAGTTTAGAATATACAATATTTGAATAAAACGGATAAAAGAAAGAAAGAAAAAATCGCATCAAATATTATATATCGAATAGAACGCCTTTCAGCTTGTTGATCATATTTTCATTGTGCATGTCGATACATTGGCTAAAGAAGCCTTGAGACTCCTTAGTCTATCCTCTGTATAAAAACCTTAAATCGTATTAATCTAATTAGTAATTACCCCCAAAAAAATACGAGGCTAAAATGTTTATAGCTACTATTGATTTTTAAAATTTTTTGTTTTGTTAAGACTCTATCTCATGCTAGAAAACATAAACAAGTTGGACTTACTAGAAGAAATATCATAAACATAAGATTTTTTTAAATAACAATGATCAAAATGCAATTTAAAATATATTTTTTTGGTTTATTTAAAATTAAAATTTAAGTTTTTTGCTGATTTCTCCATTTCTCATTAAAAACTTAAATTTTAATTTTCCATGTATCAAAATGTCATGTGAAATTTAATATTTTGAAAAATTAAAATAGTTGCTCTATGATTTGAGAATATAAACTTTTTTTTTATTACTACTACTACTTTGTTAAAAACAGTGAGAAATTACATTTGGGCTGCCAAGGAAATGGGCCAAATTATCCGTAACAGGCCCAAAGAGCCATATTTCAAAGAAATGACCCGATTGGACTGCCCCGTGAGTCCGTGACCAATCGACGGCCATGGAGACCCTTTTCAGATTCTCACTTCGCCTTCTTCCGGTTTCCGCCGCCGTGACATGTCGCTCGATCCGATTCCCCGTCTCAAGACCCGACTCCTCCCACTTGTTGAACCGTAAGCTCTATAATTTG